AGTACTTATAAATGATTTTTACAACATTGAAGATTGTTCCTCATACTGGGATATGGACGAAATGACAAGGAGGGCAGTTTAAGTTTATAAGGGAAGGTAAACTTCCTTCACGAATATTCAGAATTGCTTTGCAACAAGCTTTGTCGGACATTTTTAAAGAAAAAAAATTCTAAAAGAAATTTGTTAAACGGGTAGATAACTTAATAATTGTTTGTTTTATAATGAACTTGTTTCCTGTAAAGGTCTCCTTGTTCTAGAAATGATATATAAGACTTCCTGGGAAATGCTCTTGATTCCTTCTTATGTGATTAATAAAAGTCAATCTCAAATAAAGCACTATCTAAAAACGCTATATCTATGGTTTTGCATTAATATCACTTGTTAATGGAAAAAAAAAGGTGTATTGAGTGAATGGAAGAATAGGGTGGCTTTAAAGGAAAAATTGTGCTATGTACTAATAAAGAATGTGCAGACTGTTCTGATACATATTTTATACCCCCTTCTTCAAAAGCGTCCGTCTGTATGTACGTCCCTCCGTTACACTTTGGGGTACCTATCTCTTATTCGCAACTCCTCTTACAGCACTGAATGGATTTAATGAAAATTTCACAGAATGTTTTTACACATAGCCATTGTGCCCGTCCTATTTTACTTTTTGATCGGACACATATTTCTGGGTGTCCCACAGCAAAACATGGACACTGCCATTCTTTATATACATGTATGAATATGTTTATTCAAAAATCAAGTGCCCTCAGGGGCGCATAAACAAATTGTTACAATATGATTACAATGATCACAATTGAATAGTATAGATGTATAATGTAATATGACATAATAATTAAGTCTATCATGGAGAAGTGCAATACCACAAGTTGAATCATCATGAAAATGTAGGATTTGTTACATATTCACAGTATAGTCTGACACTGGATAAAAAAATATAGAAAACCACAGGATGATAAAAAAAAATAATAAATAAATAAAATTAACATTTTTGTAATAATGGCAGTTCGAAGGGTACCCATCTCGTATCCGCAACTCCCCCTACAAGTATACCATTAAATGAAACTTTCACAGATTCTATACTCTTCAAAAAAAGAAACGCATAGTAGGAACAATGCCCTGAAAATTTGTGATAGTTTTGTCATACCTTTTATTTTTGTATGGATACGAAGTATTCGAGTGAAATAAAGGATTTTTTAATGCAATTGTTAACTTTACAGCTATTCTACAAGTCTCACCGACAAAAAGGCCTGATTTTGCAAAATTTCCCCCAAAATTTTGACCTCAATTTTCATCTGTTGAATTCCGATGAAATTCCTTCAGGTACAAAGGGGCTATCAAAAGCGGGGGTTCTCGATATTTTGAATCTGGTTTTGGCTGAAAAATGACGCTTCCTAAAATTGCTGCATCTGAATGTTGCGTGCCACAAAAAGGAAAATGGGAGACTGGAAGCAGGGGTACCGCAATCTACAATTGCAAGGGGTTTTAATGTTATACACAGACCATATCTAACCTATCAAACATAAACCATCAACATCGAACAGCCAATGTTCGCAAAAAATATGGTAGACTACGTGTGACATCAGCAGCACAGCATCACTTCCGAGGATTACGCAGATTGCATGAATGTAATGCAATGACGTCATCTAAAGCATTAACTATCCCTGAACTGCACAGATCATCTAACAAGACCGTTTTCAGTTGACTACGAATTATTGGAAGAGGATTATTCATGCCATTGTTCCGACCCCACAACACCCCAAATATCAACTTCAAAGATCTCAGATGAATAGAATATGACCACAGCATCACTGCTGAACATTTTGGTTAACCTGCCTGTCCAGAATGTTTATCTGAAAGCCTCTTATAAGTTTAAGAGTGCTCATGCTTTTTAATGAAGGTTATATAGATAACTGCCTCCAGGACGTTAAAAAAGTTGGTGGTGGTAGTGTAATGATATGGAAAATGGTATTATAAGAAAGTAAGATTGATTTGGTTCGAATTCAATGGACTTTGATAGAAAAAGGTACTCTAACCATGTTCTACCTACACATACCCATTCAATTTTGCAGCATCCTAGATCCGTATTGCAATCTCACAATACACAGTCACATATGGCTCGTTTGACACACCTTTTCTTGCAAAGAAACAACAGCCTGTTTCAGTCACAGTCATCTAAATTGCTAGATGTAATCCAAATTAAGCAGCATTGGACAAAATGGATTGACATGATTTTCCAAAGACAATCGCATCCCCAGACTCTACAACAGCTGACTAAAGTTCTACATTTGGAGTGGGAGAGTATTCCTATATAGTTTTTATTACACATATTTGCTTCCATTAGATGCCGTTTGTGGCTATCATTTGTGTCTGCGGGGGGCATACCAGATATTGATCTTTAATGGTCTTAAACTGACTATAATTTTAAAATTGTTGAGTAATTATGACATTTAGATAGTATTTCTGTTGCTTACCACATTTCTGTTTTACCAAT